TGGTAACAGACCCAGTAACGCTGCTTCAAAAAAAACAGGCGGCAGCACGTGGCCACCCCGGTACCCAGCAACATTGGGAGGACCAACAGGGCAGAACCAGGAGGACAGAACGAATCGAAGACCATCCTGGCAACACGTGCCCTGTCTACTTAAAAACAAAAAATTAGCAAACAGTGGCGCGCCTGTACCAAGCACCGAAGCAGCCAGAGAAAAGCATGAACCTGGAGAGGCAGGACATGCAGTGAGCCAGAGATCTCGCCACTCACTCCCAGCGGGCACGACAGAGAGACCTTCCAAAAAAAAAAAAAAAAAAGGTGACAAGGATTAATTAACTAGAACACAAACTCTGAAAATACAGAAATGTCTAAGCATTTAAGATTTCAAAAGAGAAGACCTGGTAAAAAGTGAAGGCGCAGCATGGAAAAGAGGAGACAGGTGGAGGGAGAGAATGAAGACATGAGTTCACCAGGTCATGGGATGAGGACTGTTGAACCTCCTTCCCAGGCGTCCAGCTAAGTGGGATTAATTACTTGTGAAGTTCGTTTGGGAAAAAGAATTAGAAATTTGTGTGACTCTTTGAAAATAAAAGCCTGTGGCTCCCGATGATGAGAGAATGGTTAGAAAATCCCTTTGAGAGTGAAGAACTATGTAAGTGTAAAAACCAAACTGAACCACACAAGGGGAGTTTGTAGGGATGGGGTGGGAGGCACTGGCCAGGGTGAGGTTCACATCACCAGACTGGCTCAAGAGGGCTTGTGTCCCACTGGAGGGGTTTAGAATATTCTGGGGGAGGCATCCAGGACCTGTCCCCATGACACACACACCTACCAACAAGCAGATCCAAAGCCCCGTGGGCTTGACTGATCTCTGTTGGAAGGAAATTACCTAGGGGAAGGATGTCTCTGGCCCCACCAGGAAAGAACCCCAGGTTCTTTTTTGGGAAGTAAGGGGATGCCCAGGGAGAGGGCAAGACTGAGGGGACCAATGGCCTTGAGCATGGGGGCAGTGACTGCCTGTTGGGCCCTGCCCTGGCAGGAGCCAGTGACCAAATTACTATGAGACTTGTCAGCCTGCCTGGCCAGATCAAGATGTCAGCCTGCTGGCATCTTCCCAGTGAGAGCACTCACCAGGGGAGAGAGAAGGCTGAATAGGTGAAAGGCAGGGTACTCAAGGCTCCACGTGGGAGCCTCACCAGGAAGGACCTTGAACCTCTTGCGCTTGGGCTCTGGCCTACTGGAGATCTGCTGCAGTGAACAAAGCAGATGTTGTGCCTGGAATTCATACCTATATATTTTTTTTTTTTTTGAGATGGAGTTTTACTCTTGTTGCCCAGGCTGGAGTGCAGTGGCATGATCTCAGCTCGCTGCAACCTCTGCCTCCCGGGTTCAAGCAATTCTCCTGTCTCAGCCTCCAGGCTGGAGTGCAGTGGCACGATCTCAGCTCGCTGCAACCTCTGCCTCCCGGGTTCAAGCAATTCTCCTGTCTCAGCCTCCTGAGTAGCTGGGATTACAAGCTCCCGCCACTACACCCAGGGAATTTTTGGTATTTTTAGTGGAGATGGGGTTTCACCATGTTGGCCAGGCTGGTCTTGAACTTCTGACCTCATGTGATCCGCCTGCCTTGGCCTCCCAAAGTGTTGGGATTACAGGCATGAGCCACTGCGCCCAGCCCATACTTAAACTGGGTAAGGGGAGTTTAGCATTCTAAGAAATAAACGGGGCTCCTGAGGTGTAAGGACACGGTGTAGCTGACTCTAAAGGTGCCCCACAACTTATGGCACTAACTGAGCCAAAAGTGGCCCACAGGCATCTGCACAGAGCAGAGTTGAAAACTGGCAGCCCACAGATATTTTACTTGGCCTACACAATAGTTTTAAAATTTCAAAATCAACTGCCAACACTAAAAAGTCAGAAAAGCTTCCATTAAAACTTGGTTTTGGCTGGGTGCAGTGGCTCACGCCTGTAATCCCAACACTTTGGGAGGCTGAGGTGGGGAGTTCGAGACCAGCTTGACCAACATGGTGAAACCCCATCTCTACCAAAAATACAAAAATTAGCCAGGCGTGGTGGTGCACACCTGTAATCCCAGCTCCTCGGGAGGCTGTGGCAGAAGAATCGCTTGAACCTGGGAGACGGAGTTTGCAGTGAGCCGTGTGCCACTGCACTCCAGCCTAGGCAACAGAACAAGACTCCATCTCAATAAAACAAAACAAAACAAAACTTGGTTTCACTGGGCATGGTGGCTCACACCTGTAGTCCTAGCTACTTGGGAGGCTGAGATGGGTGAATCACTTGAGCCCAGGCATTTGAGACCAGCCTGGGCAGCACAGTGATCCCCAGTCTTAGAAAAATATAAATAATTATTAATTTCCATTTTAAAGATCTGGCAGTCCTATCCCCCTGTCACCATGTGCACCCTTCCCTATTGAGTCCTGACCCTGAGACTAAGGATCAAGTCCCAAATAGGACAGTGCTTGCCCTGTGTTCCTCTTGTATCAGAGTTAGGAGTAACCCATCAAAAGTGGGAAAACAAAAGGTGGACTAAGAAGGTTGTATGTTTCAGGAAAAATGGGAGCAAGCCCATTCCTTTATGGCGGTGAAGAATATAGTACACCGACTGCTTCCCTCATTTCCGTGGCCTGCCTGGTCCCTTAAGGCCTTTTCGAAGGTGTGGCCCACCTGGGCCTGCCTGTATCCTCAGCTGGGGACAGGTGTTAGAGTGAAACCCTGCCTTTGACACAGGCACTGGGTGGTTAGGAAAGAGCCCGTTTATATAACCGTGGTGGAGAGCACGGGCCTCCCGCCTACCATTGCATTTGGTGATGAGCTGGTCCTTCTTGCTGGACTCCTGTAGGACTTTGCTTTTGACACTGGAGAGCCTAGGTGGGGAAGATGGGAGGGTGGGCAGGCTAGCAAGCAGATGCGTCCCCCAAAACCCACACCCCCTACTGAGGCCCACTCACGCTTTTTCAAAGGCCAGCTTCTCTTTCTCCAGCTGTTTGGACAGCACCTCTACCTCTCCGAGGGCAAACTGTAACTTCTCCTCTTCCTTGGCCAGGAGGACCTTGGTCTTGGCATGGGCAGCTTTCTCTTCCTGCAGGGGCGGCAGCAGTCACTTCATTACCCTGGGCCGCCTTGGGTCTCCTAGACTCCCTTAACCAGCCCCGCTTCTCAGACAGACACATAGACACCAGGGCACAGGGAGATTCTGGCCACCTTGCTACTAGGGCTGGAGGTTCTCAGAGGCCGACCTTTCTTTTACTTTTTTTTTTTAAGACAGAGTCTCACTCTGTTGCGCAGGCTGGAGTGCAGTGGCATGATCTCAGCTTAGTGCAACCTCCGCCTCCTGGGTTCAAGCAATTCTCCTGTCCCAGCCTCCCGAGTAGCTGGGATTACAGGCGCCTGCCACCACACATGGCTAATTTTTTTTGTATTTTTAGTAGAGACAGGGTTTCACCATGTTGGCCAGGCTGGCCTCAAACTCCTGACCTCAAGTGATTTGCCACCTTGGCCTCCCAAAGGGCTGGGATTACAGTTGTGAGCCACCGCACCCATCATCAGAGGCTAATACTTAATGAGCCTGCCTAACCACAGGGGTCCTGGGAAAAGGGGGAAGATTAGGAGACTGCAGAGGCCATTACTTACCACCAGCTTCTTCTCCACTGCCTGGAACTCTTCTTTACTGACAAAATTTTCGTCCTGGAGAACCATCTGCAACAGAGCCTGGCTGAGGGAGGGCCTGGGGCTGGAGTAGAAGGGGCGCCCTCTAGGGACCAGGACCAAAAGCGGATAACAGGATAATGCTCGTGGTAGGATGAGACTGAGGCCCTGGGAAGGGAGAATTCAGTTCCACAGATAAACTGAGACTCAGCAATAAGTGCTGCCCTCAAGGAGCAGCCAGTCTAATGGAGGAGGCAGTCCACAGCTAGCACTTCTAACATGTTGTGTGCCTTGATGGGGAGACATAAGGGGACCTGGGGCCCAGAGGAGGCACCAACACAGCTTGGGGAAGGGTCAGAATCACTTCCGGAGAAGGGGACATTAGAATTGAGATCTGACTGCTATATAGGGTGGGCCAGAAAAGGGATAGACAGAAAAGCACTCTGGATGGTAGGGACACCCATGCCAAGGTCAGCTGCCAAGAGGAAGACCTGGGTACCTTCTGGGAATCAAAGGCAATTCAGTGCCTAGAGCTCCATACACTTTGTTGAATTAGAGCATTAGGGTAGCTAATAGGACATGTGTCTCTCCCCTTTCCCCCACATTCAACTTCCCAGAAGGGAAGAAATTGTCTAAGAACAACTTAGAATGAGAAATAGATGTGAAGCCAGTTTTATTTCTGAGATGGAGATACATTCAACCTTCTTACCAAGACAGAAAAACAAAACCAGAAAAACCATGAACTCCAGCTGGCCAGGATTCTATCACGCCTACCCAGGTAATCTGTGACTGCAATGCTTTGCACCCATTAGCTGGGGTTTGATTGAGAAGGCAAAAGCTAAGGCATGTAAAGTTCTTGGAGGCCCCTAAGTTAGCGTTGGCAAGGGCCAAATCTGCGCTTACTGCATTCATCATGGCACTGCCTTTGACTCTGCGGAAGGGTGTCCATAATAGAAGGGATGACAGTTTCTCTGCCTGCACACGAGGGCCATGGGAACTCAGTGACGTCATCTTCACTGAAAATGGGGAAACTGAGGCTCAGGGACTCTACCAGCTCTTGCAGCAACCAGGCAAACGGAAGGGAGAATATGGCTTGATATTAGTTAAAATTCCCTGGTTCAGGAAAGCCCGCCTCTTTTTGGCTGTACCCCTACCGACCGAGCCCAGCCTCCTCCTGATTACGCCATGGGCCATGCGTTCTAGCCACGGCCCGGCATCGGAACAGGTTCTGGCCCCGCCCCCATCAGTGAGGCATCCGGCCCCGCCTCTCCCCAAGCTCCTCTGGCTGCATACCACATTCCTCAGCTGGTGGATCAGTTCCTCCTGAGACTCAATCACGTCCCGCAGTTGATCGAAGGCGAGACACACAGATCCTGACCCCGCCTTCGACCACCCGAGGGGCGTCGCCATCTTTCGCCCCCGCCAGCTAGTTGGAAATGGCTGCCTCGGGGGTGCTCCCCGCCGTCGCCCACCAATGAGAATGCGACGCCACAGAGCACCCTAGCAACGGGGGGCGGGGACTTCCTCTGTTAGCGGGGCGAGGAGCCGCCTCTTAAAGGAGCCGCCTGGGGCGAGGAAACTGCTAACAACCCTTAAGGCATTTAATTTTATAGGAAATTGCGATTTTATTACATCTTCTGTTTCTTACGCGGTCCTGAGAAGCCGGCAGGGCCCGGCTTGTACTTTCCTTGACTGCGAGCAGGCAACACTCAGAACACCAGCCCTCGGCCTTCATCCAGGGCCTGTTAAGCTGCATGACCACGAAGCAAGAGCCGGCATAGGCAACTCCTGCATCTTTAGCTTCTCATGCCTCTTTCTCCAAATCTTTATCCTAATCTCCAAATTTCCTCCATTGTATGATATTCCAGCCTCCTGGAACACACTTAGTACTTGGGGGGCCTAAGCACGGAAGATAGAAGAAGATAAAAAACGAGAATGGCTTCACCTGAGATCAAAGTCTTCATACTCTGATACCAGGCTTTGGGCAGCTGCACTAGAGCCATGTGCCACCACCCCAGGAGGAGGGCCCTGAAGAGATCAGGAGGACTGAAGAGGGCTTGAAGGAGGAGAGTTTAGTAAAATGAAGTCCGGGAAGGATACGGTGATTACACACACTCACCAAGTCTCTTTTGAAGGCTTTTTTTTTTCTTGGAAACCCAAATAAGATTAGGTTTGGAGAACATCAGAGCGAATATATATTGTGTTCACTATTTCGTGGCACCATTATGTTTATATTATTTCATGTGACCCTCATAGAACTTCTATTAGCCCCTTTTTACCCGGGCTCTATGAGAATGAGAATGAATAACTTGCCCAAGGTCACTCTAGTAAGTTGTGGAACAAGAGTTCTGCTATGGGCAGTTTGGTTCCAGCGTCCATGTTTTTGTTTGTTTTTTGAGATGAAGTCTCGCTCTGTCGCCCAGGCTGGAGTGCAGGGACATGATCTCGGCTCACTGCAACCTCCGCCTTCCGGGTTCAAGCGATTCTCCTGCCTCAGCCTCCCAAGTAGCTGGGATTACAGGCGCCTGCCACCACGCCCGGCTAATTTTCATATTTTTAGTAGAGACGGAGTTTCGCCATGTTGGCCAGGCTGGTCTCGAACTCCTGACCTCAGGTGATCCGCCTGCCTTGGCCTCCCAATGTGTTGGGATTACAGGCATGAGCCACCACGCTGGGCTTGGAGTTCATGTTCTTAACCAGGATGTTGTGCTGCTTTTTTGTTGCATGTCATGGATGGAAGTTATGGAATGTGATACCCCCAAGTAGGAAATGACTATACTAACAAGGAGTTTGGAAAAAAAGTTACCAGTGACTATGAAAGGAGGCAGAAAGCTCAGGGTAAGTCATTCAAGCTGCTCCCCAAAACTCCCTAGCGGCCTGACAAACTTGGCCATCCCTGTGGTTCTCTCAGCAGGAGCCCTTGTTTTGTTTCTTGCATTTATTTGGCATGGACTTGGAGACAAAAGCCCAATCTCTGTTGACCCTCTCTCTTTCTTCTTTTTCTTTTTCTTTTTTTTTTTTTTTTTTTTGAGATGGAAGTTCGTTGCGTCTGACGCCCAAGGCTGGGAGTGCAGTGGTTGCGATCTGGGCTCACGCAAGCCTCCGTGCCCCCAGATTCATGCTGTTCTCCTGCCTTCCAG